CTTTTCTCCTCCAGCCTAGAGAATCCCAGCTCTCAGCCTCTCCTCATTATTTCAGTCCTCAATCCTATTATAATCTCCCTGGCTGGATACACTCCAGTATGTCCATGTCTCTCTTGTACTGGGGAGCTCAGCACTGGACACAGCACCCAGATGTGTCTCACCAGCACAGACTGGAAGGGAAGGATCACCTCCTTCCACCCGCTGGCAACACTCTTCCTAATGCAGCCCAGGAAGCTTCGAGTTTTTGAGGCCACCAGGGTGCACTGCTGGCTCACGGTCAACTTGGTGTTCACTAGGACCCCCAGGGCCCTTTCTGCCCCACTGCTTGGCAGCTATCTGGTTGGCCTCCAGCCTACACTGGTGTCTGGGGTTATTTTTTCCCCCCAGCTACAAGACTCCACATTTCCACTTGAACTCCATGAGGTTCCTGCCAGCCCATTTTTCCAGCATGTCAAGATCCTTCTGAAGCACAGCCCTCTGGTATATGAACAACTATCTTCTGCAAGCTTGGTGATTGTGCACTCTGCCCCATGACCCAGGTCATTAATGAAGATGTTTAACAGTGTAAGATCCAGTATTGACAGGGTACACCAGTAGCAACCAGCCTGCAGCTAGGCTTCAGGCCACTGATCACAACCCTTTGAGCACAGCAGTCCAGCCAGTTCTCGATGCACCTACTCATCATCTGCTTACATGGTTCATAATTCATCAGTTTGGGAGGATGTTATGAGGAACAGTGTTAAAAGCCTTGCTAAAGTCAAGATAAACAACATCCACTGCTCAGCCCTCATCCATCGAGCCAGTCACCTAGTTTCAGCAGGCTATCAGGTTGTCAGGCATGCTTTCCCCTGCATAAATCCATTCTGGTTGCTTCTAATCACCTTCTTGTTCATGTTTGGAAATGCTTTCCAGGATTATTTGCTCCATCACCTTCCCAGAGATTGAAGTGAGACTGACTGTATTACAGTTCCCCTTATTCTTCTTGAAGACAGGAAGGACATTTGCTTTCTTCCAGCTCTCAGGAATCCTGTCAATTGCTATAACCTTTAAGATAACTGAGAACAGCTTCACAAAGACACCAGCCAGCTCCTTCACCAGTCATGGGTGTGTCCCATAGATCTCTGCATGTCCCATCTCTTTTAGAATTTCCTAACTTCTCAACCAAGAGTTGATCTTCCTTGCTCTAGCCTTTCCCGCTGGCCTCAGGGGCCTGCAATTCCCAAAGGCTGGTCTTACCAGCAGAGACCAAGGCAAAGAAAACATGGGGTACCTCAGCCTTCTCCATGTCCTTTGTCATGAAGATGCTGTCTAGCAGCAGACCCACATTTTCTCTAATCTTCCTTTTGCGGCTGATGTAACTGTGGAAGGCCTGTTGTGCTCCACATCCCTTGCCAGATTCAGCTACAGATGGCTTGGCTTTGGCTTCCCTAACCCCAGCCCTGGACATTTGCAGAGGATGTCTATGTCCCTCACAGGTTACCTGTCCCTACTTCCACCTCAGGAATGCTAGCAGCAGCCTTCCACAGTGGTGCATGGTGCAGGAGGATGAAAGGCAACGGGTATGAGTTGAAACCAGAGAGGTTCAGCCTAGATAAGGAAGTGCCTTCTCCACACCCTGCGCATGCTTTAAGTGGTAATATGTTTCTATCTCTATCCTGTTCACCGACAGCACTTCTGCCTGCTGATCAGGAAAGGCAGCAGCTGTTGGAGATGTAACACCACTTACCCCATGCATTGCCTGTTGATCAGCAGTGAACACTGATTCCCAGGAGGACTTCTGTTCTAGAGCAAGGATCCTGAGATACTCAGTACCTGCACCTAGCACACCTGAACCGGGTGCCTCAGGCATTTGGATTTTGACCGACCTGTAACATCAAAGAACAGACTAACAATTTTTAACAGGCCATTTTTTATTGAGAGTTAAGATCACGCCCCTCCACGGTGCGCAGAACTCACTATGAAAACAAAATACAGAAGATCGCTTTAGTAAATACACACTGGTTAAGCAATGCTACTTTTTGGCAAAGTGCTGTATTTCATCGGTTTTCAGCTTGTGTTAAACTATTAAAAATAAGAGCCAGACATTCTTCCATATTAAAAGGACTGCTACAAATAGAGAAGTGGCTCTGGAGAGAAGCTGCCATATATGCATAGACTGATGTACAGTATTAATCCTAACTGAAATGTCCCTTTTGAATCTTCAAGTTTGCTGTGTAGAAGGCACAGTTTAAAATGCAAATCTGTCCATTGACGAATACATATGAAAATACAGTTTCAGCAAGATTCATGAATATCAACCAGTATGAGACAGTGCAAGGCCTCCACTTTTACAAGAAAAAACACACACTTTAATACAATTCAAAAACCATATAAAAAGCCACACAGCTCACTATTAAAACAGAAAACCAAAACACATCTAATTGCCCAACAGCTCCAGGCACAAAATGGGGCTAGACCAACATAAATATGTAAAACAAATTAACAAAAAGCCATTGATGTAGTACTATCTCACACAATAATATGGTTTCCAATATTACAAATTGAGAAGCACAGCTTTGTGCAACAAAACAGTTTATATCCTGAAAGATATAGGCTTTCATCACCAGAAAGTCATCTAGTAATGTAGTATAAAAAGACCAGTATCTCCCAATTCTAGGAGCAGTCTAAAGTTGCATTTACTTGCCTACTGAGAAGAACGGACCAAGGCTCCCATCGTAATGCCTAGAAGCCTTGTACTCTCAACTCCATCTCCCCCTTAAGAGCTAAAGGATTACTTACTCCTTCCAACACAGGGAGGTGGAGACTCCATCTTCCTTCATTTCACTTTAAGAAAATTAAAGCTGAAGGAAAGTAGTTACTTTTATATATAAAGAGAAAAAAAAATACAGGAAAGCAAGGAATTTTCCTGAGCTAGAAAGTTGGCAGTGAGGAGAAGGAAGTCTAAGCCGGGCAAAAAATTGGAGTGATAAAAGGTAGATATAATCTGAGGCAAGTAAGAGTATTCATGAACAGATGAGAGACTGGTGAAACTACACCTATTTGCAGATAAACCAGAGTATTTGGATTACAAAAGAATTGTTGTATGGACATGGGCACACACTGCTGAAAAGAGGATAACATCCGTTTTGGAAACTCATGATGTGACAATTTTGTTTTCTTTCACTGTCCATGTGAATTCAATGTGTCTTAAAAAAAGAAAAAAACTAGTGCATCTAGGAAAGCACCACTCGCTTTTATACATTTAACTATTTGTCAACATCCCTTTGCACCAATCCTAACTAACCTCAGTGAAGTAGGCATCTGCAGTGAAACAGTGTACAGAAAACAACATTTAACCACCAAGGACATTCCACAACAATTCCAGCTGCAGAATGTGCAACAATACCACTACATCAAGGTTAATCCAAATGGTTGTGTTTTTGCTTCAGTGAAATTGAAACATTTGGCTGAATTTAAAATACTTCATAGGTCTGGAATAATTCACATTATTGATCTTGCCTAATTTCAAAGACTCCTAACATGACTCCTTATACTAGCTTCCGTATAAGGACTACTGGAAGACATGGTTGAATGTAACGTTAACACTTCAATGCCCTAGGCACTAAACACAAGGAAAAAAACAGTAAGTCACATTAAGCACTAACAAAAAGGGGTTTAAACTTCCTTACATTTCACCCCCTTCTTTCGGTGCAGACTTCTGCTTCCTCACCTTCATAGCCATTCAATCTACTTCCCAGATTGATCTATCAGGGTTCAGCATGCCACGTGGTGGCTGTGTAATACACTCTTTGTTAAAAAAAAAAAAGTAAAATTCACCTGTTAAGTGCCTGCCAACTTCCAAAACATCTTGCACAGTGTTCTTAAGAAAACTACTTGTTAGTTTTGAATGGCTTTTCTTTCCTGTTGGCCCACAGAAGTGTTATCCAGTCCTTCTGCCCCCAAGGGGCTAGGAGAACCACCACTGCCGATCTGCCTCAGTTTCTATACACTCTGGTACCACTGCATTTAGCTCTGCAAGACTCTTTTCAGCATGCTTTTCCCCCGCCACACACTGCCCTTCATTTCCAGTCACAATTAACTCAGACTTCATTTTTGTAGAGAGGAAGAGGGAAAATTAGGAGAACTTCTGATAAAACCTTCTTTCTAGCTACTTTTGAGCTATGCTCAACCTGTAAATATGAGACAATCTAACAGCAATTAGCAGCTCAGAAATAGCTGTCCATCAGCCTGACTCCTTTAAAGAGCAGTCAGCTACTGATAGGATTAAAAGAACACGCTGATCCACCCTCTTTTTCCTTTAACTAGATTAAAGATTAAATGAAATCAGGTAGGGGAAATACATCTTTCAAAGACAGAAAGAGAAAGGGATAGAGAAAAGGAGTAAGAACTTGAACTGTACCAAGCAAAACCCAGTTCAGCTCTCTGGGTTATGCATCTGCACTTAACCCATAGGTCCACTTTTCCTTCCACTCCACTGTGAGGTACTACATCTGTAACACCAGTGCCGTATCATACTGCAACAATACTGGGGGGACATTTAACCCTTTCCTGATACCCATATTAAGTACCCAACACACCCACACAGACTCCACTACCACAAGTAGGTACAAGGCAATTTAGATTAGATGTCCTTCTTGTAACAGTTCAGCATAGCTATGTAATATCCACTGGCGGCTACATTTCCTTGTTAGAAAGTAATAATATATGCTGAATACAGACAGATACACAAGCTGTCAAGTACTGCTCACTGAAGCATACAGCTAACCTCGGATTTTCTAACTCCACTTTGATTAATGCAAAATGTAACCATCTCGGTTACATTTCTTTAAAATCCCAACTAAGAACCCCATCTATACATCATAGTTTATAAAACAGTATACAAACTGTCGTACTGATAGGCTTCCAAGACATTGATACTTAACATCAACATTTAGGACTTGCTGCAAGATGTTCAGAGATTTATGTGTCATTTCAAAAGAACGCAACACTAGTTATGATTGTGTTTGAGGGATTGATGATCAGCTTCAGATTGACCACACTTACCTATGCATGAAAACAAGAACAACCTAAAAAAAACCCAATTAAACCATAGATTAAAACCACAAGAGCCATCAGTAATTGAACTGACGCTGGCAAGGCTGGTGAACAAACAGTCCGTTGTGCTTGATTTGCCGAGAGTGGCAATCCCTGGTAAGGTTTTGGCGACGGAGACCGTTTTTGTTGAGATAGTGTCTTTCATTGTGTTCCTTTATCCAGTGGGTAGGACGAAAGCTCTTGTTTTTTTCCAGAAAAGTTGAACGAGTCGCAAGAGCTGTGACGTAGCAGTGAACACGCTGTCCCGTTTCATTTCGGGCCTCCAGTCTAGAAATGTAACAAGCAAATATCAGCGATTACTGAGGTACACTGGAAAGACATGCAAACTAGAGAGGGCAGGAGAATACGGACATCAACAACACCCAGCATTTCGGAAGGGCACCCTTATTCTACTGGACAGAGATTTGGGCTAAGGTGAGCCCAAGCTAGCTTAGGAAAACCACACCAGTATGTAATGCATAGTGCTGCTAACTCACTTTTAGTGTGAAGGCACAGCAATAGCCTCCAGACTTTTGGTGTATTATGCTGTTGTGCCCTTCCTTCCCCACCCCACCTCCCTAAGCCCAAGATGCAGCATAGATCAGAAATACAAGGCAATGTGTGTCACACTGCTCCAGCTTTAGAATACTTAGGAGTTATCCATTAGGCAAAGTTTGGTCTAAAATAATCTTGAAAACATAGCTGAAAATGATGAAATTATGATAATGAAATTGTGCTTGGATTGCCAACCACACAAGTAAATCCAAACATCGTTCATGCAGAGGAAGGGGAAAGCTAGACCAGTTGTGACACACATCAGAAATAACTTAGAAGGATCGGTCCTCAACCAGCCCTCTAGATTTCATGAGCAGAGAGTCAGCAGGTTTGGCAAACCCTTACTCCACCATGCACTAGGGAAAAACAAACCAGCAGCCTATGCAAGCAGGGACTGACACATTGAAAAAGGACTTCCCAACTCGACAGAACAATCACTGGTGTTTCCTGAAACTTCCACAGCAAAGCTAAAAATAGCCTCGCAGTTTCAAAAGCAAAGCAAATCCCAAGTCTGGGTACTACAGTGGGTGCGAGACCAGTAGCACCAAAGTTGCTTGCCTTCTCTCTCCCCACCTGGGACCTAACAACTAGCTGTCAACTCAATGGTGCCCAGGAAAGATGACTGCAAGACCAAGAGCCTGCTCAGGCATGAACACGAGGTCTCTTGGGAAGTCTGTTTTTCAGCACTAGCACGACTCTATAATAAGCTCTTCCAGAAAAGACTTTAACTTGCGTTTATTGTACGATGTCTCTGTAGACACCAGCCTGGTCTGCCACACCCATGGTACACCCTTGCAAGTAGCCTTGCTCTTGGGGACTCTTCTGCCTCCCCCTACCCGACACTGTAACAAAATACTCCCTCTCAGCAAGGGAGTACCTCCTCCCTTCTACTTTTTTTTTTTTTAATATCCAAATCCACTTGCTTTTGGCTCCTTGGGTAGCTTGATACAACTGACTGAAGCCTACAGACTCCAGAATAGCCACATGCGACAGATTGGTTTTCCCCTGTTCATTCACCAGATATTGTCCTAAACCTAGAACTTGAGATACAAAACAAGAAATATATGAAAAAACATCACAAATTAATTCAGTGTCTTGTAAATACTTTGTATGCAGATTACACCAGTTTAATTTACATGAGGGTACCTGCAAATATGGGACTACTGCTTTCTATATGGGGTGATCCCTTAACACATTGAACAATGCTGGAGGTGGAATTCCAAGTGAAGCCTTTCTGGGGAAAGCCATAAAGAGCCAGGAAGGCACACCACACTTACTGGAGCCCACATTTCCTAAGCATGCCCTTGCTGCATGTCATCAGCTAGCAAAGGGCATCAACTGCTGAATACAAAGTGTGTGGTTTGGTAAGGAAAAATATGACTAATATGACTAACAGGGGGACGTTTATACAACATCCTTTTGATTTGAAAGGAAATTACAAGGAGCAAATAGATTTCCTCTGCAAAAGGAGAAAAACTGGTTTAAAGACACTGCAGGTTGAAGATATTTAAGCTTCTTCCCCCTTTTATCAAACACCCTTCCAACACTGTTTTGCAAACCAGTGCTTTTCTGTTTGTCACCTTAAAGTGAAACTGGGATAGCAGAGGTGGTTTGAATTAGCTAGAAGGCCACATACTCTTCTAATAACAGCATTTTGATATCTTAGTGGTTGTCTTTGGGAGCCTGGCACTAGTGAACCCTGGGCACAAAAAGAACAGGGCTGATGAGACTGCATCAGTGTCAAAGCAACATTTTACAGGGCTGTGTCTAAAGCCAGACCACTGCTACATATATTCACCATTGTGTCTCCAGCATCGATTTTGCTAGAAAGTGTAAGCGCCCTGCTAGTTGTGCTATAGAGACAGACCTCACAAGAAGCATTAAGGTGTTCAGACCCCACCCCAATTAACATTTAAGTAATTTTTCTGCACTTAGCATTTTGCCTTGTTAAAGCAGATGTAGTTAGGCTTGATCAAGTAACATCATTTGGCACAAAGGTTAGTCCTAAGACCAGTATTGTTTTGGCAGACAAGGCTCTAGAGGAAGCAGTATTGCTAGCAGCCTGATCAAACAAAAAGCACTGTCCCAAAACAGTAGTACTTACTGTGCCAGTGTGCCTTAAGCAGCTTTTCTTGGCCCTACAATGTTAAATGGCCAACCATTAAACCACTACAGACTTCAAAAGAGCTTCTGAAACTTAGTGCATTATCAATGTAATTGATTTTCCCAACTTCTGTAGTCTACCTCAGCTTTAGACTGAAGTCTACTCCCAGTTCTGCCACCCAAAATAACTTACACCAAAGTCTAGATCTTCTGATGAAGCAACAGCACAGAATTCAGTGTGAGAAAACCTAAATCACCACTTGAGCATCACCACAGCTTTAGCTTCCCGACACAAAGCAGCTTAACTGTGCCACACAGTATAACATCGGATTCTTCTCCAGAAGAACTTATACTGGTGTCCTTTGCTTACAAGTCACTGAGGCCAGTATCTGACTTTGAATGTCACCAGTTCCCCCAGACCCTGATTTCAAAAGGTGCTATGTGCTCATGGCTTTCCCTGATTTCACTTAAGCTAGACCCTTGATGCTTAACATCAAACTGCCCTCTCCAAATATTTATACAAATCCCCTCTTCTCCAAGATGAATGGTATCAGCACTATACTTCAATATTAAACAGCAGCATGTCATCCCAGAGTCACCCATTCCTTTGAAATAAGAACTTGAGACATGGCAAGAAGTGATCAGAAAAGTCAACGGGCATCTACCTACAACAGCTCCACCACTACACTATTTTTTTCCTGTGTAAAAAAGCTTACTACGATTTTTTTTTTTCTTTTTCAATTGTCTTTAAGTGGAAGCTCCAGATGGGGGGAAAAGTCAGTTTTTGTTATTAACCAGGATTCACAAAACACCCAGTTATTTCCAAATCAATGAACACACAGGCAAGTGTGGAGTCATGATGGCAAAAATACTCTGTTTATATACATCTATGTATACTATACTTGTATAGCTGTATATAATGAAGAGTTACCATCAAAGCACCAGTGCACAGTAAAAATGCATCTGCAATAATTCCACATGGCTGGATCTTTAGGACCCAAAAATTAAACAATTTTACAACCTGCAGAAAATGTAATCCTGTGCTAACCTATCACTAGGTTTGAGGAACCAAAAATATCAAAACAGCCTTCCTTGTCACAGTAGTTAAGTAATACTTGTCATCTCACAAAGTGACTAAGAGGGTACTGACTAACAGCTATGAAAAATACACATAGCTATGGAGGGGGCAAAGTGCTTTCAAATCTGTGTTATCAGCTATGTGCTTAACTGCTGCTGGTTCCAACAGGACTGGAGCATATTCTGCGAGAGAACAATACGGCTCCATAAATATTCATTGCAGTGTCAAAACAGTATACCCAACTGTTTCCTGTCACAGTCACCTTTTATAGCATTTTTCTAAGCATGCAGACAGCCCTGACCACCCTACCCACCTTGTGCAGTATTCATGCTTTATTCACTTGCTCTGAAATAAGCTGGAAAATTCAGTATTAAGTGTCTAAGCTACTCAAGTAGAAACCAGATATTTTCAGCAACAGAGCTTCTTGACAAGGGAAGTCAGACATACCTGGGACTACCTGGGCTGTTAAACTCCTCGTCTCCACATCCAGTCTCATTAAGGCTGTGACAGGTGTTGTGGACAGCATACACAGACATGCTGGGATGCTCTATTAGGAGGTTCTCCATAGGACTGGTTTCCACTTTGATAGTGGTTAATCCACCTGCAGTAAAACACGGGGGAGGGGTAATAAACCAACTCTCCTCCATGGGACATGACTCAAACTGGATGAAGCAGGACTCGCTGGCCTCCGGCAAGTGTTCCAAGGGAGACGGTAAACAAGAGAAGACGGGCGAGCCATCTGCAGCTGATGCTTCAGCGATGTCTGCTTCCTCCACGGAGCAATTAGTGCAAGTGTCTGCTGCAGGTGCCCATTAGGCAGTGGACAGGACCCATGGATGTTGGTGATTGCAGGAGGTCAAAGACAGCAAGGTCACAGGCAGCCAGAAGCATCATATAAAAAAAAAAACCCAAAGAAACAGAGATAAACCCCTATCAGCAAGTACACTTTTTAAAAAAAAAAAAAAACAAAACAACAAGGGGAGGTGAAAAGGGAGTTCCCTGACCAGCCATGCTAGACACATAAAACAACTGTTATCAGTAAAGCAATACAATTGCATAATAAGTCAAACATATTTTATCTGTACAAGTGGATCTGCTGAAGCCTGTGCCAGGCTTATCAACGTGACATAATTCTTCTCATAAATCTACATACCATGTTTCAGTAGCTTTGTCTGGAAGATACCCTATGCTCTAACCCACGCTGGTTGTGCTTAGGTAAAGCTTCTCCCAAGCTACTGGTTTCTAGAGAGAGTTTACATTTGACAGACATCTTACCTATAAAGTCAACCAGAATCCACTCGTCGTCTTCTTTCTCACTGAACTCTGGCTCTCGGCTGGACAAGCTATCAATCTCTCCCATGAGCATGTTATTTAACCTCTGGAACATTACTAAGGCAGGAACAAGACTTTGGCTGGTAGGTCTTTATATCCAAGGTTCAAGGCACAGCTCACACTGTACTAGCAGAGTGGCATAGACTTGAGACTAAAGTGCATAGATGCTTTATCAGCTTAGGTACAGGACATGCAGAGGCATGACTGGTAAACAGTTTATGTGAAACCTGCAAAAAATGATGACAGGGGTCTTAACGACAAAGCAACAGGTAGCATCCCTAGGGAACAAATTCAAAACCCTCTTATTAGTGCATTCTGAGGCACCAGTGAACATTTTTCCCTAAGAGGAGAGGCAGCTTCATTGGCATTCACCATTCCTTCCCAGCCAGATACACAGAGAAAAAGCCTAGGTCCTTCCTCGGAGCTGAGCACCTTCCTCTAGATCCTCCTCCCCGTGCAAAGGTCTGCTCAGCTGTCAGTCCCCACTTTCTCCTATGGGAGGAGAGGGACTTCTGTGCCTATGCTCACTGAGGTGCTCCCGCACCTCCCCGCCTGTCTTCCTCCTAGTCAGAGAGAGATGCGGAGGGCAAGCATGCATTTTCTGCTCCGGACATCACATCTCCTCTGCTGATGCAGCCTCACGCCTCTCCCGGAGACTCCTGCAAGGGCTCCCAGAGGTGCTCATGGCAGCATGTCTTCCATCTCCCATCACACACGGTTCAGGGCCACTGCCTACAAGTTAACACAGTAGGAAGGCACATCCCCTCTTCAGGTTCAAAGTACACCACATAGTTACCCACGGGATCATTTTCACAGCAAGTGCCCAACTAGTCATGTATGGCAAGTCTAAGCAACAAGGAAAAATAACTTGTATACTTTATTAAAATCAACATTTATTTCTCAATACACTTCCCTAACTCTACACATAATTAGTCACCATAAGCCTCAACTCCACATCTGGCAGGTAAGATGAAAAATTCCACTAGTACTGAGAAGCTGAATGTCCAACCACCCCAGATCAGCATGCTTACAGCCTTTGAATATCTATGTATGAGCCATTAAGTAGAAGCCATTAAAGGAGCTGAAAAAGTAAAGACTACATGTGAAAAATATGCAGACTTAACTACAAGTTAATTTCACCATGATAATGTTTGAATTATCACAGCATGTCAGAATTATGACAGATTAAATACCTGTTTAGTAAATAGGGAAGAAGAGATGCAAGTAAGAGGGTATGAGTGTCTGCATTCAGAAAGCAAAAGGGAGTAAGACACACTACACTCGACAAACCCAGCCCTTAAAACAAGATACAACCCATAAAGAATATTATTTAAGGCCAGTGTACCCAGCTTCACCCTGTAACTCTCAGGGCACACTAAAGGGTCATTTTGGCCTCCTATCCCATCTTACCCCAGCACACCAGACCCCATCACCTACTTGCTCAATGCAAGGACAAGCACCTGCTCCATACAATACTGCTCCTATAGACATCTATGCACCTACCCCCCTTTCAAACAGCACAGAAGGATAGGATTAGAATTTAAAGTAGTCTTCAGAAGTAATATGAAAAGGTACAGTGTAACTCCAGAAGTTATGCACTGTAGTTCTTCAACAGGAACTATCACCTGCAGAAAAACACAAGACTAGGAACAAATGTCTCAGCTGCAGTACTGACAAAAGACTGTTTTTTAGGACCACACATGAAACTGAAATATCTGGGTTCTCTTTAAAAAGCTACAAGAATGCTCAGAAGTCTAAAGAAAAATTGACATTTAAAAAATGGAAAGGCTTAACAGAGGGAAGGAAAAAATGACAACAGTAGTCAGTTATGTGAAGAAGGAGGCACACATTTACTCCCTCCTACATTCACAGCAAGCAGAAGTGGCCAAGTGGCTTTTAGCTGCAGTAAAGTTCCATTTTCAGTGGTTACTAGCAGGAAACACTTGTAACCCTTGAGGTCGCTAAGCCCTGGCTGGGTTACCTAAGGAAACACCAAATGCCCACAGAGTTCCTAAGCATCTCTTTGAGAAGGCTTGAGTGCTTCCATCATAAACAGCTTGCCATGGATAAGGAAGTGGACTCTAAGTGAAAGCTTGAAGTCTGTAGCTTCCAGTTATCTGGCACAAGGCTAAGAACAAAGAGAGTTTGTTTTTTCTTTAGGCTAACTAGCAAGCCAAAGCATACTTGCTGATGGGTGCTTGCTTTCCCCAATTCTCCCACTGTCACCTGCATCTGTTGCCTCTTTCCTAGATCTAGACTGGAAGTACCCTCCGGCAACAGCTGGTTTTTTTGTTCTTCAAGCTGAGCAAGATGAGAGCTCACACTGCTACATTAAGGCTCCATAGGCATCACAGCAACATCAAATAATTAACCTCTAAAAAGGAAAATAGAGATCACTGTTCCTGAGAACATAAGCTAAACAAACTATACCTTTTGACCCATAAATGTCTTTCAGTAGATCAAAAGCACATTGTCCCATTTCCCCCTTTCCCCACCCCAAGGAGGATCCAAAAAAACATCTGAATCATTTAGAACCCGGTTGATGTTTTGACATCCTTTTGGCCAAGTGCCTTTAAAAACACCACACTTGCATGCTATTGTGCAAGCCAGATGGGGACCAAGAAGTGACGCTGTTAACAAGGGTCACCGTTGGGGGAGGCAAGCGCGACACAGGCTGAATGAGAGGCACTCCAGCTCCGAGACAGGAGCTGCCAGAAGAGACAAGACAAGCTCAGCTACAGCAGCAATAAAAGGCTGCTACAGGTAACACATCCAATGCATGCCAACCCCTTTTCTTCTCTTTTTGTTTCTTCTATCCTAGCAAAGGAGATGCACACTTAAGAAAAAAAAAAACAAAACACACACAAAAAAAAAGACACTGCCTCAAGTCACTTCTGCAGTTCCCAGTGAGAGCTCGGCTGCTGATCCCCCCCCAGCTCGCAGCCTTGTCATTGCCACCAGGAGGCTCCAAAAAGCCGCTTTCGGCGGAGCCGGCG